ACCCTCCGACAGTGCGGCGCTCCCTCAGCACTGACCCTCCGACAGTGTGGAAATGATTTTCTTCAAATCATTTCAAATTTGTGCCCTCTAGTTCCTGAGGAGATTTTCTCCTTGTTCGCTCTGTCATGTGCAAAGTTTGGAATTGTGCGCTGTACTTCAAGATCCAAATGATTGATGCCTGTCACAAAAAGCAAGGATCCCAATGCTGAGCCCTGGGGACCTGCAGCATCAAGAGTCCCTTCCCCTTCTACCAGGTCATTCCCCTTTAAGAAGCTTCCCTTGGGGAGGCGGGGGTGAAGAAATCCGACTGACGTCAACACGCACGACGCGTGTGAGGTCACTGCGTCGATGCGTCACGGCGGAGCTGCGGCCTAGCGGGAAACTGAGAGGTGAGGGGCTTTTTGATAATATCGAAATAATGTGACATAGTGTAAATGTATAGGGCTATATACCATAATGAAGTGTAAATATATGGATATAGATTTGAATGTGTACAATATAATGTAAATACAGGTGTCATTGATCATAATGTAGTGTAGATGTAGGTGATAGATCATAACGCTGATAATGTATGGATATAGGGTTAAAGATCATAATGTATATGTTATAATGTAATTGTAGGGCCTATAGATCACAATGTATGCAATAACGTGTAGATATGAGGGTTACAGACCGTAATGTGTATGTTATACCATAAATCTAGGGTCACAGGAGCACAATGTATACAATAAAGTGTATATATAGGATTATAGATCTCAACGTATATAATATGTACAGGTGGACCCAGACCAGGGGAGAAAAAGGAGAAATGGTGTAAGTTGGAGGGGATGTCGGGGGGTGATGGTGGAGTTTGGGGGATGTGGTGGATGGTGGTGAAGGTTGGAGGGGGCGATGGTGGAGGTATTCTAGGGACCACAGAAGCTCAGGGTGTATTTAGCTGTTTCTGAATTTGGGACTCCATCATTGACCACTATCAGGCCCACTCTCCTCCTCGTGGCAGGTTTCTGAAAGGAACGTCAGAAATGGAGCTGTGCTGGTGTCTTCTTATCAGCCTCACAGTGTCAGCCTTGGCCGTGCCCATCGATAGGACGAAGAAAAAAGACGAAAAGCAAATCAAACCAGACTCAACGGTGAGTGCTGAGTGTGCACAGCTCTGTGGGGGTAGGAGGGAGTCTGTGCTCCACAGGCTAGGGGTGAGAGGTTTGGGAATTTGGGTGAGATTGGGTGTAACTCTGTGCCAAAGCAGTGAGACCAGGAGCATGGACCATGGGTGATCAGTTAGCTTTTCTGATAAATGAGCTGTCCTTGCACAAATCAACAAGCTGACCAGAGGCAGGCAGTGATCAGGATCCTCCCTGTCCCACATGTCTCATACTCAGCAGACTTGGTACACTGAAGATCATTCCAAGTGTCAGTCTGTTGATATATTTAGAGGTTAGGGGAGGGAGGAATGTTCAGCCTGTCCAACCTATTGCACCATTCAGTTTCATTGTTTAATATTGATCTAACTCTTTAGCTGCTGCTGTCTCAGGAAGAGTTCCCGGCCCTCATCCCTGGTCCAGTTTGAAGGTTCTAATCTCTTGTTCTAGACTCTCCAGTCAGAGGCGATTATTTCTCTGTCTGCTCTATTAACTCCTTTAATATTGTCCACACCTTAAAAGGTTGTCCCCTATTTTCTAAAATGGTGTTACAATTCTAGTCTGTCCCCACAATTTAAGCCTTTAAATTCCAGTGTCATCTTGGTGAACCAGTGGCAGCTTCTCCAAGGCTGATAGCTGTCTCCTGAGAAGCTGGTGCCCGTGCTGGATGGGGCCTGCAGAAGATTCTATTCAGTTGAGCCACCATTTCCCAACCCTTGTTCTCCAGCCCTTAAATCTGATTGTGTTTTAATCTGTATATTCGATTGCTTTTAGTCAACTGGATATGCAGACTGTCAAATCCATTTCCTCCTTCCCATTTCCGGATCTCTCACCAATTAGAATAAATTCTCAAAAAAAAACAAAGAATTGCAGATGCTTAAAATCTGAAACAAAAACAAAAATAGCTGGAGAAATCAGCAGGTCTGGAGAGAAAGGAGAGTTATCTTTTGATTCTGGTGACCCTCTGTCAGAAATCCTAATTTTCATAAATAAATTTTCATTGTTGTTCTTGGATCCACAGTAGGTGACCTCATTATGACCAAGTGTAACAGTTTGACTCACTCACTCGACGTGCCCCAATTTACAAGACCTTCACTGCAGCTTGACTTGCTGTCGTTTGCAGAGTTGGCAATGTCTGTTCCATCATCGATTGATGTTCATGACGAGAAGCTGAGGCCATGGAGAATGCCAGCAGCCACATCTCACTGAGCAGGGCACGTTCCCTTTATCGCCAGTTTCTGTATCCCACCTCTCAACCAGTTACTGACCCACATCACAAACCTCCCTCCCAATTCTATCCTTGCTCATAATACACAAAAATTGATGAAACTCCTGTTGAATACAGAGTTAGTGCAAAATGAAAATCAACACTAACAGTGGCCTCTTGCTCTTGCATGTTACTGGTGACCGTCTCGCTGTCTGGTTTTCTGAGCATTTCCTTGCTGTTGTGCAGGACACTGGTTTGTATTATGATCGATATCTCCGAGAAGTGATCGACGTGCTGGAGACTGACACCCATTTCCGTGAGAAACTGCAGACGGCAGACGTAGAGGATATAAAGGTCAGTGTGCATTTGCTGCTGGGCCTGTCTGTGAGCAGGATTCCGGAGCACCACAGGATGCTCTGGTTTGCTGAGGCATTGACAGCGACCATGAGCTTTTGGGCTGAGCTATGGCCTAGCTTCTGAGGGTTGGGCTAACAGTTTGATGTTGCTGTTTGTGTTTCAGAGTGGGAAGCTGAGCAAAGAGCTGGATTTAGTCAGTCACCATATCCGCACGAGGCTGGATGAGCTGAAACGGCAAGAGGTGTCCAGGTTACGGATGCTTATTAGAGCCAAAATGGATGCTGAGCAGGGAGAGAGTAAATGTCGCTTCTTTGTTTAAACTGGGGAGTGGGGCGAAGCTGTATCGGGTTTGGTCAGGATCAGAGCAGAGAGCTGGCGTAGACTAAGTTTGTGACTGGGATGAACTCAAGACACCATTATTTCAGTGTTTGTTTTAAACATCGAGTGGGGATGTTCATGTTGATTTGTCAGTCTCTGTCCTTCAGTAGTTTAATGAAACTCTGTGTCTGCTTTTCCAAACACCCTCCCAGATATGCAGATCGACCACCTGAACCTGCTGAAGCAGATTGAACACCTGGACCCGAAGAACTCCCACACTTTCGAAGCTCGAGACCTGGAGCTACTGATCCGAGCGGTGAGTGCAGAACGTTCTGCGGAGCTTGGGGAGGTCGGGGAGGGTGCGGGGCTTGGGGCGGGGGGAGGGGGGGGGGGGGCGGGGCTGGGGGCAGGGTCGGGAGGCGGGAGGATATTGGACAAGGAAGGGGGAAGGAAGTGAGCCGACCTGGTGAAGGATGGCTTTGGGAGGGCTCGTTCAGAGGTAGAGTTGGGTGAGGGGGTAGTGAGTGAGGAAAATGGAACAAGGGAGGAGTTGTGGGATTTGAATGCCTCCAGTGGAGGGAATGAGGAGGGGCTCAACGGATCAAGATTGGATGTGGAGGGGAGGGCTGGAATGAGGTGGGGAGGGTGGGGGGGGGGGGGAGGGTGTGAATGGAACCGGGAAGGGGGTGGCATTGGGGAGGGGAGCTGAAATGGGGACAGGGACAGTGGGGTTCTCAGCTACCTGGGATTGAGGCTGGACACTGCTCTCTGTCCAGGCCACGAAGGACCTGGAGAATTATGACCAGGCCCATCACGAGGAGTTCAAACGTTACGAGATGTTGAAGGAACATGAGAGGAGGGAGTACCTGAAAACTCTGGATGAGGAGAAGCGACAGATGGAGGAGGCGCGGTTCAAAGAAATGAAACAGAAACACAAGGAGCATCCGAAAGTGAATGTCCCGGTGAGCGAGGGCCTGGGGCGGGGGCAGGGGTGGGGTTGGGACCAGGGCAGCAGTGAGCCCAGGGTGAGGGGGTCCTGGGGTTTAGGCACAGACGGCGAGGACATCTGATGACCCAGCTAGAGAATGTCCTGCCCAGGGCCTGATGGTTACCTGCTCCAACATTCTTCAGGGAGCCGGGACACAGAAGATGGTCACCCCCAGTGCTGAGGTGCTACCCCTTTCACTCCACATTTGGGGCCAACGCCACCAATCCACCCCCCACCCCCGACTCCCGTATGAGGGGGTGGAGGCTTCTTGTTGCTGTGGGACTCCAGTCTTCTGTGTTCACTGCAGTGAGAGAGGATGTTCTCCCTTTTCTCGAAGAGACATGGAGAGATTGTTGTGAACTCTGTTTTATTTCCTCAGGGAAGTCGGGATCAGCTGAAGGAAGTATGGGAAGAGACGGACGGGCTGGATCCAAATGAGTTTGATCCGAAAACGTTCTTCAAGCTGCATGGTAAAGTGTCTGTCTCAGCCCCCATGGGAATGGTGACCCCACAAAACCCCCTCACCTCCCCCCAACTCCCCGACCAGTTGACTGACTGTACCCCAACCCCAACCCCAAGATCACCGAATGGGTCCAGTCACACCCACCGCCTGGGTGGAGGGGCTGTGCTGTAGGTTCTATAAGCAATTTGCCATGGCCCTCCCTGAAACCATCCTCTTTGTATTTCAGATACAAACAGTGACGGTGTGTTGGATGAGCAGGAGCTTGAAGCTCTGTTTACCAAAGAGGTGAGTGACTGAACTTCGAGTTAAATCACAGATTTTTGCAGGGTGTGAGGTGGTGTTGCAAACAAGGAACCTGGGCAGTGGGTGTGTGGGGGTTTGCACAGGGAGTAGAAGCTGCAAGGGGCTGAGAACAGGAGAATGAGTCATTAATGGATTGGGGACAAGCTGGGGGTCAGGTGAGGGGCTGCGCTTGTGATTCCTCCAAACTTAAAAATCAAAGCAGATTCCCTGGGCTCCCAGTTCTAGCAGTTGTTGATTTAACAATAGGCCCATCAAATCCTTTCTCATTAGGCTAGTAATCCAGAGACTCAGGAGATGTGCGAGATGACTCGGTGGCTCAGTGGTTAGCACTGCTACCTCAGTGTCAGGGACCCAGGTTCACTTCCAGCCTCAAGTGACTGTCTGTGTGAAGTTTGCACATTCTCCCTGTGTCTGCATGGATTTCCTCACACAGTCCAAAGATGTGCAGGTTAGATGATGAGCCAAGGGAAATGCAGGGTTGCAGGGTTACAGGGATAGCCTGTGGGTCTGGGTGGGATGCTGTTTGGAGGGTCAGTGTAGACTCAATGGGCCAAACGGCCTGCTTTCACACTGTATGGATTCTGTGATTCTATCTAATGGGAACCCACTTCTGCCGTACATCTAAATAAAACAAAGTGAAATGGAAGGGTCTCAGCTGGTTTCTGTCTCCACAGATGCTGCCAGACCATTTGTGTTTTTCCAGCAATTTCTGTTTCTGATTTCCACTATTCACAACCCTTTTGCTTTGTTTTATTTAGATGTACTGCAGACTCGGGTTCATATTCCACCATAGCAGACAACACACTTTGAATTTTAAAAAGATTCTGGAATTGAAAGTCTGATAATTGTGAAACCATTGTCAATTATCTTAAAAACCTTAATGAGCAAGCAAGGTTCTTCAGGGAAGGAAAACTGCTGCCTTGACCTGACCTGGTCTCCATGTTAAATGCCACTCAGTTGTATCAAACCTCAAAAAAGTTTCAAAGGGATGAAATTGGATGAACCAGCTGGCATTGACCTAGGGTCTGGAATTAACCACAGCAAACTCAATCCAGTCACATTTGGGGTCTAGTGCCAAAATTGGGAGAGCTGGCCCAAACACCAATCAGGGAACAGCCAGATGTAGCCATATTTACGGAATCATATCTCACTGTGTCCCAGATGTGACCAAGACCTGGACAAAATCCAGCTTTGAGCCAATAAGTGGCAAGTAACATACACCCCACACAAATGCCAGGCAATGACCACCTCCAACAAGGGAGAATCTAACCATTGTCACTTGACATTCAATTGCATTTCCATCACTGAATCCCTCACTATTAACATCCTGGGGTTACCATTGACCAGGAACTGAATTGGACTAGCCATATAAATACAGTGGCTGCAAGAGCAGGTCAGAGGCTGGGAATTCTACAGCAAGTAACTCACACTTGACACCCCCAACACACACACGCGTGCACACACATCAGAGCCTTTCCACCATTTACGAGGCACATATCAGGAATGTGATGGACTATTTCCCATTTACCTGGGTGTGTGAGGCTCCAACACCACTCAAAACTTGAAACCATCCAGGACAAAGCAGCCCACTTGATTAGTACCACATCCACAAACATTCAGTCCCTCGAACACCGACGCTCAGTTACAGTAGAATGTACTATAAATGTACAGAAATTCACTGCTGTTCCTGAGACAGCATCTTCCAAACCCATGACCACTTCCATTTAGATGGACAAGGGCATGAGATGCATAGGAACACCCACCTGCAAGTTCCCCTTCCAGCCACTCACCATCCTGACGTGGAAATAAATCATCATTAATTCAGTGTTGCTGGGTCAAAATCCTGGAATTCCTTCCCTAATGGCATTGTGTGTCAACCCACGGCAGGTGGACTGCAGAGTTCAAGAAGGCAGCTCACCCCCACCTTCTCAAGAGGCAACTAGGGACGGGGCAAGAAATGCTGGGTCCAGCCAGGGACACCCGTGTCCCATTAATAAATTTGAAAAAGAAAACACAGCTGCTGCTATCAGTGTGAATTGTGTATCACTGTCACTTCTGACCAGAGGGGAATGGACAATGTGCTGTTTCTTTGCTCAGATATTGGTGTTGACATAGTGAAGCCTGTCACCCAGTTTTCAACAAAAACAGAAGTTGCTTAAAAAAACTCAGCATCTGTGAAGAAAAAATCTGAGTTAACGTTTTGGGTCCGGTGACCCTTCCTCAGAACTGATGGTAGCTGGGAACGCGTCGGTTTATTCGCAGAAACTAGGGAAGGAGTTGGGTAGGAAGTAAACGACAGGATAAAGGATAGAGCCTGAAGAGAGAGAAGAACAGTTGGATAGACAAAGGAGTTGATAACGATCTGGCTGGGAGGGTGAATAGCTGTTAATGGGGACTGTTAGTGACTAACAATAGGTAGGGTGTAATGGCAGGCTATGTGATAACAAGGCCTGGTGTGTGTGGGGTAGGGGGCTAGGACATGGGAGAGTTTAGGCCCTAAAATTGAACTCGATATTGAGTCCGGAGGGCTGCAGGGTCCCAAAGCGGAAAATGAGGTGTTGTTATCCCAGCTTCTCTGGAACACTGCAGCAAGCCTGAGACAGGGATGTTGGCCGGGGAACAGGGTGGTGCATTAAAGTGGCAAGCAACTGGAAACTCGGGGTCTTTTTGTGAGCAGCACGTAGAAGTTCTGTGAAGCGGTCACCCAGTCTACACTTCATTTCCCCAGTGTTCCCTATGGGACACCCTGGTCCACTCTTTCCATCACTCCCAACAGCCCTATGGCACCTTCCCCTGTAACCAGCAAAGATGTAACACCTGCCCAGTTACCTCCTCCCTCCCCAGTATCCAAGGGCCCAAACATACCTTCCAGGTGAAGTGCTGCTTCACCTGTACTTCGCACAATCTAGTCGACTGCATTTGCTGCTCACAATGTGGTCTCCTCTACACTGGGGAAACAAGGCGTAGACTGGGTGACCGCGTCGCACAACATCTGTCCGCAAAAATAAAGCCCTGAGCTTCCAGTTGCCTGCCACTTTAACGCACCACCCTGTTCCCCGGCCAATATCCCTGTCTCAGGCTTGCTGCAGTGTTCCAGAGAAGCTCAGCGCAAGCTGGAAGATCAACACCTCATTTTCCGCTTGGGGACCATACAGCCCTCCGGACTCAATATCGAGTTCAATAATTTTAGGGCCTAAACTCTCCCATGTCCCAGCCCCTATCCCACACACCAGGTTTGTTATCACATAGCCTGCCAGTACACACTACCTATTGTTAGTGACTAACAGTCCCCATTAACAGCTATTCACCCTCCCAGCCAGATTGTTATCAACTCCTTTGTCTATCCAACTGCTGTTCTCTCTCTTCGGGCTCTATCCTATTGTTTACTCCCTACCCCATCCCCTCCCTATTTTCTGCATATAAACCGACGCGTTCCCAGCTACCATCAGTTCCAAAGAAGGGTCATTGGACCTGAAACGTTAACTCTGGATTTTTTTATTCACAGATGTTGCCAGACCTGCTCAGCTTTTCCAGCAACTTCTGTTTATGTTCCTGATTTACAGCATCTGCAGTTCTTTTGGTTTTTACCCAGTTTTCAACATTGTGTCAGAGAGCACACTCTGTAACTGAACTTTACTAGTTCACAAGGAGTTGAGGAGCTGCTGGGAGTAATGTTTTGTCGAAGTTGCATTTCTATGTCTTTCATGTTCCAAGCCTGACAGTATTTTAGCAATAAAACTGAGCCATGGCTCTCTCCTTCTCCCCCCACAAACACACCAAGCTGGAGAAAGTGTATGACCCAAAAAACGAGGAGGATGACATGATGGAGATGGAGGAGGAGCGACTTCGGATGAGGGAGCATGTGATGAATGAGGTGAGAAATTTGGTGGTTGGCGGTGTTGGAGAGGACAGTAGATCCTGTGATGAAATGAAAACAGAAATTCTGAGGAAGGGTCACTTGACCCAAAACGTTAAATCAGATTTCTTTCCACAGATGCTACCAGACCTGCTGAGCTTTTCCAGCAATTCCTGTTTTTGTTTCTGATTTACAGCATCTGCAGTTGTTTTGGTTTTTATTTAGACCCTGTGATGATGCTTGGTGGAATAGTTTAATAAGAAAATTGTATTGTGTAATCACAATTAGCACTTTGCCAGAATGTCAGTGTATGATGTTTAAGGAAAATAAGTCTAGACCAATAAACGGTGAATTCAGTCAAAGTTTAATGGATGTGCTGAGGTTGCCTGTGCAATTTATTCTTGCTGCAGAATTTATCATCAGAAGAAATCTGAGTTTGACCGCTCGCAGTATCTTCCACCCTTCAGTCAAATTATGGTCGATTTGATCCTCAAATCATTCTTCCGTCAAACTCATTGTGTCCTCAGGAATTTAAAAGCGTTCATTATTTTCCAGTGTAAAAGCTCCTTATCGTTTCAGCTTCCAATGTGATGGGAAATTCCAAGTTTGAAATCAAAGCAGTGTCTCAGTCAGACACAGCCCTGTGATGCTAAGGCGACTATGTCTGGAGATCAGCGAGGAACTCTCTCATACAGTCATACAGCACAGGAACAGACCGTTCAGTCCAAACACTCCATGCTGAGCATAATCCCAAATGTTTCTTGGTCATGAACAGGTCGATACAAACAAGGATCGGCTAGTCAGCCTCGAGGAGTTCCTCAAATCCACAGAGAAGAAAGAATTCCTGGAACCAGAGGAATGGGAGGTCAGTGTCCTGCTGCGTGTGGGGAGGAGGGGCCAAGGGGGAGCAGCCAGTTTCTGGTTTGTAGAGGCAGTCAGTATCCAGCCTGGGGAGGTGGGTGGCAGGACTGTGATGGGGTTCAGTGTCCGGCCAGTCTGAGGGTTTGAGGGGACAGCATTGAGTTGATGTTGCTGGGACCTGGGTTAGAGGGTAATGAAGGTTGGGGAGTTTGTGAAGATTGTGGTGAATGGCCTCAGGGAATGTGTGTGCTCAGACCTTCCTGAGCAGTTATTCTCTTGCTGTTTGTGATGGGCAGACACTGGATGAAACTCAGATCTACACGGAGGAGGAGCTGCGGCAGTATGAGAAGGAGCTGAGCCAGCAGGAGGCTGAACTCAATCTGAAGGTGGAGCAGCTCAGGAAGGAACAGGAGGATTTACAGAGAAGGCAGGACGAACTGGACGCCCAGAAGAAAGAATATCAACAGGTAACCGAAGGACTAGTGCAGTGGGACAGACTGCTATCTCTTCCTCCCCCGTCACACACACTCTCTCTCTCGTGCTCTCTCTCTCTCTGTCCAATTTGACAATGGTGGCATCACGTATGTCCCTGTCCCTCCCCCACCAAACCGACGACCACTGTAACCCATTTTCCGCCCCCTCCCACCTGCTTGCCAAAAGATAGGCATAGAGTAATACAGCATGGAAACAGGCCCCTCGGCCCAAACTACTTCATGCTGACCACCGTGCCCACTCAGCTAGTTCCAATTGCCCACATTTGTCCATAGCCCTCTTAAACCCTTCCTGTCCATGTATCTATCCAGATATGTTTCTATTGTACCTGCCTCAACCACTTTCTCTGGCAGTCCATTCCATATATGCACCACTCTCTGCGTGAAGAAGTTGCCCCTCATGTCCTCCTTAAATCTTTCCCCTCTCACCTTAAACCTATGCCCTCTAGTTTTCAATTCCCCATCCCTGAGAAAAAGGCTACATACATTCATCCTACCTATGCCCCTCATGAATTTATACACCTCAACAAGGTCACTCCTCATTCTCCTACGTTCCAAGGAATAATGTCCTATCCTGACTCTCCCTATGACTCAGGTCTACTAGTCCTGGCAACATCCTCATGAATCTTCTTTGCACACTTTCCAGTTTAACTATGTCTTTCCTGGAACAGGGTGTTCAAAACTGTACACAATACTCCAAGTGCGGCCTCACCAACAACTTATACACTTGTAACATAACGTCCCAACTCCTATACTCAATGCCTCGATGGATGAAAGCCAGCATGCTAAATGCCTTTTTCACCATTCTGTCTACCTGTGACTCTCCTTTCACTGAACTATGTACTTGTACTCCTAGGTCCCTCTGTTCCACAACACTCCTCAGGACCTTACCATTTACTATGGAAATCTTACCTTGGTTTGACTTTCCAAAGTGCAACGCCTCACACTTATCTGTATTGAATTGCATTTGCCTATCCTCAGCCCACTTCCCCATCTGATCAAGGTCCCCCTGTAATTTTTGATAACCTTCCTCAATCTCAACAATATCTCCTAATTTTGTATCATTCGCAAACTTACTAAACATGCCTTGTACATCATATCCAGATCACTTACATAAATTACAAATAGCAAAGGTCCCAGCACTGAACACTGTGGCACACCACTTGTCACAAACCTCCAGTCCAAGAAACAACCTTCAACCATCACCCTCTGCTTCCTTCCATCAAGCCAATTTTGAATCCAATCCTATGCGACCTAACCTTCATGATTAGCCTGCCGTGCGGGACTTTGTCAAAGGCCTTACTAAAGTCCATATAGACAACATCCACTGTCCTACCGTCATCTATCCTCTTGGTTACCTCTTTGAAAAACTCTAAAAGATTTGTCAGACATGACTTCCTGTGCACAAATCCATACTGACTATCCCTAATCAGACCTTGACTATCCAAATGTTGGTTGATCCTGTCTCTCAGTATCCCCTCCAATAACTTGCCTACCACTGATATCAGGCTCACTGGCCTGTAGTTCCCTGGCTTGTCTTTGCTACCTTTCCTAAACAATGGAACAACATTAGCCACCCTCCAGTATTCTTGAACTTCACCAGTGGCTAAAGATGAAGCAAAAATGTCTGGAAGGGCCTCTGCAAATTCTTCCCTAGCCTCCCACAATGTCTGAGGATGGACTTGATCAGGCCCAGGGGATTTATCCACCTTAATGCGATCTAAGGCTGCAAACACCTCCTCTCCTGAGGCCAGTTGACATCAGCTGACCCATCCTGAAGCAGGGAATGGATCCTCTGATCCAGTGGTTGCAGAGAGTCCAGGTCTCTCAGGGAATCTCCTGGGATAAGGAAGTGAATTCTCTCTTTCAGCTGGAAGCTGTGACAGAATTGGATTTATAACAAGCTGTGTGTTATTGATTTGAGCTGGACTGGTTCACATCTGACTGTTCATGTAACCCTAGGCCTTGCTGCAGATGGAGCAGAAGAAATCCCAGCAGAAAGCTGAAGCCCCCCAGTCTGGTCCTGAAGGTCAGCTCAAGTTCCAGCAACCAGAGGCACATGCAGGTAAGGAATGGCGTGGTGTGCGTGTGCGTGTGCGTGGGAGTGGTGGTGCAAGTGAGGGAGAGGCAGGGCTCACAGTGAAGTAGCTCCAGGGTGCAGTACCACACCAGTACAGTCTGTGTGTCCCCACAGCTTGCATTCTGTATCCTGACACTGTCAAGTTTTTGTGGTATGTAAAAATCTCCAATACTAATTAAAATAACATTGAGTTTACACCACAGGAAAAGGCCAGTTGGCCCATCTGCTCCATGTTGGTGTTTCTGTTCCACATGGGCCTCCACCCATAAACATATCTCAGCTGTTCACCTCAAACCAGCCCCAAGGGCAACATGTTCCACATTTAGCCTGCACCAAGTGAAAGGTCCTTCCTCAGTTCCATTAATTTTCCCGCAAGTAGAAATATTTTCTCTAATTCTCCCTTATAAAATCCTTTGTTGTTGTTTTAAGACCTGTACCAGATCATTCATTCCTTTTTCCTCGTTGTTGTACCCTTGCAGTTCTGGCTTCATTTTTGCCCCTCACCTGGTGTGTCTGTCTCCTGTTTGTGATATTCAAACCAAATGTGTATACAGTGTTTCAGGAGAGTGTGGTCTTTGCAATTTTGACGCAACTGCTTTAAACCTCACTACCTTGCACCCCTCACACTTGCTGGACATTGTATGTTCTCACATGTGGGCATCACTGACATTTATTATCTACCACCCCACGTACCATGAGGCCATTGGGTTTCACTGGCCCACTTTGGAGGGCAGTTAGTCATTCCTGTTGCTGTGGGACTGGAGTCACATATAGGCCTTGAATATGAAAGGACAAGTTATTTTCTCTATGGGGTGGTAACACTGTGCTAGCACTCAACAGAATAAAACCTGCAATTTGGTTGATGTGAAGTTGGTTTAGTGTTGGGAATCCTGGAAGCAGTGACAGGGTCAAGAAATAGTGAACCTGCCCAACATTGTGGCGCGCGCCCATGCCTCCTCAAACCTCATTTACTCAATCCTCAGGCACCTCCTGCATTGACCTCAGAATCCATTGAACCCGAGTAGATCCAAGAGACTGTCTCAACAAAAAGAAGATAATGACCTATGTCTCTGCCAGGTTTCTTGCTGTCCTCAGTGTAAAAGAGAGTTGTGTTTCTGTTGTCTCATGTAAACTTGACGTTTCTGACTTTCTTTCAGAGGTCCAAGCTCCGGTGAATGAACCAGCCCAGGTCCAGCCTGAGGTGGAGACACTGGACCATGCACCTGGACAGCGAGCTGGCCAACCGGCTGCACCAAGCCACGATGCACATCCCGGAGAGAAACGGCCAGACCGCGCTGCCCCTTCTCAATAACCTTCAAGCTACTCAGTGACGGTAGAGTTTGTTTAATCAGGGTCTTCATCCTTTGGAAAGGATTTTATTTCTATTTGTGAGCCAATTATACAAGTATATTGAGTTAGAGCTCCTTGCACCTCTGGTTATCATTTTAAATACTGTAATCTCACTCCCCATGACTGAGTTTAGCCCCATATACAGACCAGTGAATATATCCAGACTGGATAGTGAAGATAAGTGTCACATTTACACTGCTGTGGAAGTGACGCTTATCTTCAATATCCTTGGGGTCTCCCTGTCGCACAGGTGAACATTTCACAAGGTGATTGAGATTTATTTTGGGAGGGGGGAACATGGTGCATGTCGGGTTTAAGAAAAGCTCTAACACCCACCCTGTCTAAGTTATCTGTGTGACCTTGCTAAATTGCACTTGAAGATTACTGGAACTCTCTTGATGTAATTAGCTGACTTTGTTTTTGCCATTCTCCTTGCAATGACTGGATTCCTGTCTGCGTTGTTCAATGTTCTAGAATATTCTATTATTTTACAAACAAATTAAAGTTCTGTACACTGATAATGATGGAAATTATAGGGATGGGAGTTCTGCTAAAGATGCTCGCCCCTCACAGCATTTCTTCCTCTCAGGTCCTGCAGAAGAGTGTTTGTTTTTTTTTCTAAAATGCACCTTATTTTAGCATTTTAACACAAGGCTTGAAATTGTGTGTTTTGATTCATGACGGTTTGTAAAATAAAGTGTGTGCGCGCCTAGGATAGCAGTGTGTCTGCGTATCAATTAAACTAACCAAATACCGTTATATTTGATAATATTCTGCCGTGGGAATTTCCTGAGAGTTCCTTACCATCCTTGTCTAATTTTCACTTCTCTTAACATGAAAGAGAAATCAATCATTATCAGTTATTAAAAAGACAAAAAAATTTATTTTTGAAAAAAAAGCATAAAATTAAATAATATATAATAACTTATTCTTCATCCAGTGACAGCTGCCCAGTGCATACGAATTCATAAAATACTGACTGTACAACAAAGCCATAATTTAAAAATTTTGCATTGGCAGAGTTTTCACAAGCTATAAATTACTAAGGCTCCATAACAATTATATTTTTATGAAGTAACAGATTTCCATTGACTGGTATCTCAGATGGGAAGACAACATTTGTCAGTGTTTGACTTTGCAACTTTCTTCCCGTTTACACCGGAATGTTTAAATTCCAGCTAGTTTATTCCACATAGCGTTCCTGTGGTCCTGATTCAAACAGGGGCTGATCACTGCCTCTGCTTCGGCAATCCTACGCTGGAATCTACTGCGGTCTCGTGCGTACTGTTCCCATGGACCCTTTCGAGCAGCTCTAGAGGCGAAATCCCACACAATCATTGGATGCACTGTAACCACAGGAGAGAATCGAACCTGCAGGAGGAGACAATGGTTACTTTATATCAACAAACTCTAGGCAGAGTCAGGGACTTTTAGATTTAGGTATTAGGCATTTTCTAAATTGACCTGTTTGGAGTTATGACAGGTCTATGACACAGGTGAGACTTGAACCCAGGCCTCCTGACTCAGAGGTAGGGACACGACCACAAGAGCACCTAAGTCAGTGACTCTGTTAGTTTAACCTGACAGAGCCACTCCAGGCTAAGCAGGTTTGAACCCCAAAAATTCAGGGCTCATTGGTTAGCACTGCTGCCTCACAGTGCCAGGGACCCGGGTTCGATTCTACCCTTGGGCGACTGTCTGTGTGGGTTTCCTCCAGGTGCTCCGGTTTCCTCCCACAGTCCAAAGATGTGCAGGTTAGGTGGATTGGCCATGCTAAATTGCCCATAGTGTCCAGGACTTTGTAGATTAGCTGGGTTATAGGGGGAATGGGATGTTCTGAGGGACGGTGTGGACTTGTTGGGCCGAAGGGCCTGTTTCCACATTGTGGGGATTCTATGATGAGATCCTGGTCTCATGAATTCAAGTTTCATGTTAACTAAAGGCAGGGCATGTCAGCAACAGGAAGAGCTCAGTGAGAGAATCACCCTGTCAGGCCACCTGAGTCATTCAGACTGAGTCATTGCTTTCGTGTGGTTGTATTTATACAACATCACAACAGATCTAGTAAACAGTCTCACTTCAACAACTTCAGCTTAGACTCAGTTGTTACAAATACTTCCTCTTTACTGACCCTGCTATAGGGGAGGTTTACCCGAGGGGTGGTGGAAGTGACAGGTCAGCTGTGGAACTACACAAGGGTTTCCAGCAAGTAGTGCTGTGCTGATACTGGGTACAGGAACGGATGACATTACATTAAATTGCCACAGAATTTCCCCAAAGTTCCCATAATTTCTATAGAATCTGGTTACTCTGATACAGTACAACTTAAGACACTGATATCCATCAGACATAAACAAGGGTGAATTATAAACACCTTTGATCACTAAAACCCACCTTTTTGACAGTTTTTCCATCGGACTTGGATGTTTTTGGTTTCACAGTTGTTGTGGAACAGCCTTGACTGTTGAGTGGGAGTAGTTTTGGACCAGGACATTGTACATTCCCCTCCTCAGATAGCTCAGTACTTTGGTCTCTGTCCTTTCTGCTGTTGTTATCAGTGGATCGGTTTTTAGCAGCACAGACGGAGGAACTCTGTGACTTAAAGAGATCAGTGTTTTGATCAAATGAGTCCTCTACATCATTCTCAGCCTCTTGTGTATCACAGGGCTTTGAGTCATAGTTATTCCGTTTATTGGTTTCTCTGCTCTGCTGCCAAGTCAAGGCCGAAAAGTTCATAGGATTATAAGGGTCAGGGTCAAAAAAGGAATTCCAAAGCTCATTGGCTTCACTTTCATCAGCTTCTTGTTCGTAATCAAATGAATCATCTTCACCATCGATGGACCACTCCCTAGACAGGGCATCATCTTCTGAGTCAGCAAGCCAATCATCCTCATCCTCCTCCACTGACTGACTAGTCTGCTCCACCAGTGGTACAATAATCGACTGTATGTATGGATTTGTACAAGTGGGAGCTGGGTCTTTCTGACAGAGAGACTCCATGCCCCTCTGATCTCCCTGAGCCACCTCCCCAGTGGCTGCAGAGAGAATGAGCAGATGAACTGAGGTAGCTTCCATTCTCAGGGGCAGGGGGTCCTCAGGGAAGGAGGTCTCTCTCTGCATGGCTGGCATCTTCTTACTGCTGTGTCCCCACTGTGGGTAACTGAGGTTGCTTATCCGAACCATCTCTGAATTTCCCAGGGTTTGTATAGAAACACCAATGTAACCTCCACAACTGGGGTAACTGCAAACTGCTGACTGGGTCAATGGCCCGAGATTCAACTGCAAAAGAAAAGAATTAGATCACGTTTAATAACCAATTCATCCATCAGAGACCTCACCCCCTCCCCTTTCCTCCCTGCCTCCGATCAGAGCTCATTCTGCCCATCCAACCTGTGCTGGTAGACAGTGATCCCAGCCCAGCCCAGCCCAGCCCTCTCCCCGGATGGCCCCGGCTCCGGGTACCTGAGGCTGCCGCTGTCAGCCGCTCTCCAGCGGGTTCCGGAAGGTCATAGCTCTGGCCTTTGGGCTTGGGCTGCGGGCGGGGGCCATACTCAGCGTCGGGGCCACTCTCGCTCTCTCCGGCTCCGGCTCTGTCCCTCGGGATCTCCTTGGCCTCTGTACCTGCATCTGGATCACTCTCAATGGATCATTGTGGGGATAGGTATCTCTCGATGAATCTCTTGGTGGATCCCCGGTTGTAAGGGAGCTCGTACAGATCTCTTTCTGGCTAGATCGCTGTCGGTGGATCTCCGACAATAGGATCCCTCCTGGTGGATTGCCGGCTGGCTGTGGGATCGCTCTCTGTCGGTGGATCTCTGGCTGTGGGATCGCTGTCTGTCGGTGGATCTCTGGCTGTAGTGGGATCGCTCTCTGTCCGTGGATCTCTGGCTGTGGGATCGCTGTCTGTCGGTAGATTTCTGGCTGTAGTGGGATCGTTCTGTTCGGGTTTCTCGCGGAATCTGTTTTTTATTCTGGCCGCTGACGTAATCCTCAACCAATCACGACCGAGTCACCGCCCTTTCATTACGTCACGTTATACGTCACAGGAACCGCCCGTGCCCTGGCTGATTGGTTCACGCAAGAGGCCGTTCAGCCCATTATGCCCGTGCTCGCCCTTAGGGAGAGGATTCCAGTCCCGCAGTCATTGCTGCCTTGTCCCGGGAGACCACCCTTTCTTCTCCGATATATATTAAAAAACTCCATTCCAGAGCCACCACGGACCTTGTCTCCAGCCGAGGACAGTCATAGAGTCACACAGAAACAGGCCTTTCGGCCCAACTCGTCCCTGCCGACCAAATATCCTAACTGAACTAATCCCATTTGTCTACGTTTGGCCCATATTCCTTTAAACCTTTCATATCCATGTACATGTCCAAATGTCTTTTAAATGTTCTAATTGTGCCTGCATCTACAACTTCCTTTGGCAGCTCAAAACACTCACTGGGTGAAAACGATTCTCCCCAAACACTGTGCCCTACATTCTGTGTCGTCAGGTTCTATAGCTTTTCCTTGTCTGCTCTATCCAGATCTTTCATGGTTCTGGATACATCTATCAAAACCCCTCTCAGTCTGCTCCGCTCCATGGAAAACAGTCCCAGCTTCTCCAATCTATCCACATCATTGAGGTTCCTCATTCCTGCAACTTTGTTTTTCTCCATGCATTCTAGAACCTATACATCTTTGTTAAATACAGTGCTCCAAACTGAACACAATCTTCAAGTCAAATGTACATCTTATAGAGGGTCCTCATATCTATCTTGTTACTACACTCTATTTGTAAAGAACAGGGTTGATTTCCATACCTTAGTAACTACTTTCTCAATGTGCTCTGCAACCGTCAACAGTTTGTGCACATGTATCTCTAGGTCTCACTGCTCCTGCATCCATTCAGAATGATGTCATTTATCTTAAATTCCCTCTGCTCATTCTTCCTATCAAAATGGTCATTCAATTTCATGTGTCTGCCCACTCCACCATCTTGTCGATATCCTTACAAAGTCAATCACACTCTTCCTGAATGTTCATGACACTTCCAGATATTGTGTCATCTCTAAATGAAACTTACAGAATGCTGAGAGGCCTGGATATAGTGGACATGGAAAAGATTTTTCCATTAGTGGGAGAGACTGGGAACCCAGGACACAGCTTCAGAGTGATGTTGGGGCAGCATGGTGGCTCAGTGGTTTACACTGCTGCCTCACAGCGTCAGGGACCTGGGTTCAATTCCAGCCTTGGGTGACTGTCTGTGTGGAGTTTGCACATTCTCCCCGTGTCTGCATGGGCTTCCTCCATGTGCTCCAGTTTCCTCCCACAGTCCAAAGATGTGCAGGTTAGGTGGATTGGTCATGCTAAATTGCCCATAGTGTTTAGGGATGTGTAGATTAGGGGGATGGGTCTGGGTGGGCTGCTGATAGTGTCGGTGTGGACTTGTTGCGCCGAAGGGCCTGTTACCACATTGTACGGATTCTATGATCAATGAAGTGACGACCCTTTAGAACTGAGATGAGAAGAATTTCTTCAGCCAGACGGCGGTTAATCTGTTGAACTCATTGCTGGCAGCATGCTGTGGAGGCCAATTCATCAAGTGCACTTAATACAGAGATAGATATGCCTTTGATGGGTAAAGGGATCAAGGGTTAGGGGGAGAAGACAAGAGAGTGGGGTTAAGAAAGATATCAGCCATGATTGAATGATGGATCAGACTCGATGGGCTGATTGGCCTAATTCTGCTCCTATATCTTATGGTCTTATGATATTTTGTTGTAACTGTACCCTGTAAAGCCAAGTCACTGTCATTAATATAAATCAAGAAACAGGCTACAATTCTCCAATCTGCTTGCATCCTTCCCTACTTAAGAAGCAGTAGATGTGGTCAGTTTCCACCAATACTTTGTTCAGTTTCTTCTGATAAGTTATCAACTTTGAGTTAGATTAGATTTTCTCATACATCCTCTTTATTAATATTTCTCCCACCTAGTCTCTCTGCTCTTTCATTGCAAACTTTTGCAGCCTGTTTTTTCTTGGTGAAGACAAGTACAACATATTTATTTCAACCTAGCCTTGTCCTTTGTAACCAGGTTTCCTTTCTGCTCCTCATCAGCTCCACTTTTCTGTGCTTCCCCTTCTGAACTTTCACTTTCAGCCCGGTCCTCACTTTCCCATTCATCTGATACCTGTCTAACACTCTCTTTCTGTTCTCTCTCATTCTACAGCTCATCATTCAGGGAGCTGTAGTTTTGTTTGCCCTAACCTTTGTCTATCACCGTAGCTAACTATCTCCTCTTTAAAGGCAGACTGTTGTTCCCTTACACCTTTCCATTTACCTAGATCCAAGCCACAACAGGAGGTCACTGAGAGGTGATAGTTCCGGGGTCACAGCCTGTGGTTTCCCACAAAACATCAGGTTTGGGCAGTACTGTGAGGGATTTTGTCGAGCTGAGGGCTAATATCCCGCACAGACTCTCCGTGCTATGTCTAGTTTACAGCTCAGCCCTGGTTAGACCCTCAGACAGTGGAGACTGCTGTGCAGTTCCCTGGGAAAGTTTCTCTGCAGTCACCTTCACTCTCAGTGAAACGTCACGGTTTACATTTTCAAATCGTTACAGCAGAGTTTCTGGCCGTTTCAGTTTCTGTTAAATACTAGCTGTTACCACCTATTCCAAACGGCAGACCATTCCTTGCCAACTGTCTTTCACTGGATCCGTCTCCTCAGCCAGCGACCGCTCTGTCCTCCACCTCACCCCCTACCCCTTTCCACCTCCCTCTCCTCCTCCCCCCTCCCCCCCCCTCCCCCAGCCCCCTCCCTCTCTCCCCTTCCCGCTCTCTCCCTTCCCCTACACCCCACCCCGGCCAGTCTCTGGTCTTTCAGTTGTCTCCTATTCCCACACAAGGCGGCGGCAGTGTTTTGTTGTGGCTCAGACGTGGAGCTGTACGTTGCTGCTCGGTAATCTGACAGATTCTCCGCTTCTGATCGCTGACTCGGTCACTGATCCACTCCCCCGATGGATCCATCTGATCTTCCTGGAACTCCGTCCCCGGTCAAATTTACACATTCCGCCTGCTTTGAGAGTTCGAGAGAATTGGAGGTTTCTTTGTACAGCGAGCTTTGATTTAAGGCGGCTTCACTCTGTACCTAACCCCGTGCTGTCCCTGTCCGGGGATTGTTTGATGGGGGACAGTGTAGAGGGAGCTTTACTCTGTATCTAACCCGGTGCTGTCCCTGTCCCTGGGAGTGTTTGATGGGGGACAGTGTAGAGGGAGCTTTACTCTGTATCTAACCCCGTGCAGTCCCTGTCCCTGGGAGTGTTTGATGGAGGACAGTGTAGAGGGAGCTTTACTCTGTACCTAACCCCGTGCTGTCCCTGTCCTGGGAGTGTTTGATGGAGGGGGGACAGTGTAGAGGGAGCTTTACTCTGTATCTAACCCCGTGCTGTCCCTGTCCTGGGAGTGTTTGATGGCAGACAGTGTAGAGGGAGCTTTACTCTGTATCTAACCCTGTGCAGTCCCTGTCCCTGGGAGTGTTTGATGGGGGACAGTGAAGAGGGAGCTTTACTCTGTATCTAACCCTGTGCTGTCCCTGTCCTGGGAGTGTTTGATGGGGGACAGTGTAGAGGGAGCTTTACTCTGTATCTAACCCGGTGCTGTCCCTGTCCTTGGAGTGTTTGATGGGGGGACTGTGTAGAGGAAGCATTAATTTCAGTTCAAAAGAGTATAGGGGGCTTTACTTTCCATTTCAAAGAATGAGTAGAGCTTTATTTCCTGTTTAAAAGTGTAGAAAGATATTTTTCTCTGTATGTTACCCCATGCTGTCCCCATCCTTGCAGTGTTTGATGGAGATAGTGTAGTGGGAGCTTTACTCTGTACCTAATCCGGTGTTGTTCCTGTCCTCACAGTGTTTGATGGGATAGTGCGAAGGAACCTTTACTCTGTACCTAATGCGGTGCTGCCCCTGTCCTGGGTGGGTTTGATGGTAAATTTCCATCTCAACTTAATTTCAAACTAAAACAAAATAAAACAAACAAGTACAGATGTGGAAACAAATACAGAAATTGCTGAAGAAGCTCAGCAGCCTGGCAGCTTTCTCTGCACAGATGTTGCCAGACTTGCTGAATTTTTCCAGCAATTTCTCTTTTTTTTGGAAGTTTCAATCTGTTTCCCTGCGACATCCTTTGCAGATACTTGAACCCAATGAAGTGCTACTCCTACCTAACACATTAATTTATTATTTAACTGACTCTTTCTAGTTCTGTTGGCATACGGCACTAATCTGAAGCCCTTTCCTTAAGCACTTTTTGAATTTAAGTGTAACCGAGGATCTGCCCTGAAGAAAATATGGAATAAAAGTTTATTTCCAGTCCCATATAAACCTGAAAGCAAGTGTATATAATTATTCACTTTGTCCTCTACTCACCAAATATCAGTCTGACATGGGTTACTGCACATTATCTGCCAGTGCCTTGACATCTAGGTTGTAGTTTGAGCTGCTAATCATATACAGTCCATCAAATGGCTCTCTCTGACGTAGACACTTGAACTTGATTCTGTGCAGCTGAGAGAATGCTGTCTCACAGATATATGTGGGGCCAAGGTAATCTTCCACTTTAAAAGATTGGAGGGTTTAAGCTATTGGGAGAAGCTGAATAAGCTGGGGCTGTTTTCCTTGGAGTGTCAGAGGCTGAGGAGTGACCTTATAGAGATATATAAAATCATGAGGGGCATGGATAGGGTGAATAGCCAAGATCTTTTCCCCAGGGTAGGGGAGTCCAAAACTAGAGGCATAGGTTTAAGGTGAGAGGGATTTAAAAAGGACCTGAGGGGCAATGGTTTCACACAGAGGGGTGGAGCGTGTATGGAACAAGCTGCCAGAAGAAGTTTTTTTTTTCTTTATTCATTCGTGGGATGAGGGTGTCACTGACCAGGCAGCGTTTATTGCCCATCCCTAATTGCCCAGAAGCAGTTAAGAGT